TGATATTTAATGGATCGGATTACATTTTTTATTTCTCTCCAATATCCGATCCAGTAATTTACGTCAGTATCGGACCGATACCGATAAGTAATATCGGATCGGTCCATCTCTATTAGTTACACACCAGGGATCACTGTGAGGCCATCAGTTACAATGAGAAACAAAACTCCACCAGCTGGACAAAGAGAAAAAGCTTAGGCAAATGCACAGTTATGTGAATCCGAGTTAAAAAACAAACAAACATACAAACAAAAAAAGACCAACAACAACAGAAAAAACCCCAACAGTGTCGTCACCTCCCATGTCAACGGTGAACAAATGTCCATAGAAATTAGAAACACCCACCAGGCACCAGATGTTCTTTTCTGGGCTAAATGCGGTGGACCTTTAAATTTTTTTACTTGCTGAAGAGAAAACATGTGGCAAGTTTAGTCTAAATCACACCTACTGATTGTTTCAGAAACACAAATGCATTAGGTCTTTGTTTTTTTGGTTAAGAGATCTGTCAGGTTCATGTTTTTGACCAATGAATTCCACACTAAAGTGTAGAAAGGATACTGTTACCATTAGTGGGTACTGCAGTGGTAACCACATCAGGCAAGATCAGATGTTTGGTGTCAATACACCAGGCAAAACAAACTCTTCTGTAGTGAGCAGAGGGCAAGCGAGCATGTGTGAGAAAATGCACATTTTAGTGCATAGCTCTTGTTATGAATTTACGTGAGAATCATCTATATTTTAAAAGTTGTCTTCAGCTTTGGAGTAATACCAGGATAATAGATTACAAATATGGATAACCTTTCTGAATCTAAAAAGTGAAACCACTGCATTAGTGACTCTAATGCCTGCATACTTTCTCGTGGCCAGCAGAGGGCAAGAGATACAGTCTCTGATGGTTTAGAAGTCTATGAGAGAAGTGCACATCGCTTCCTCTGACCCATGACCTTTGATGAGTTTATGATCTCAATCACCAATTTTAGTTCTTAATAAAATAAGACTCGTTTTATTCAGTAATTATATTCCCCATCAAAATTAAAAGGGGGGGATGCTTCAGAGAAGGCCTACACAATGACTGACAAGTCACACGCAGTGCCCTTCAGTCAAACTGGTTTTAAAAAGCTAATGTGGGGACAATCAAAACACCCGGTTTGAGGCTTGATAACCTCAAATTGAGGGCCTCACTAAGCACGGGGTGATCCATGGATCGACATATATACACAGTGTAAGTTGAGGATCATTTCTCATACATTCTGTCAAATGACAGGCAGAAGGTCATTTTCTCTGACCCCATGTCACAATTGTATTTAGGCCAAGGGGCAATCCTCCAGAGCGGAAATACTGAGCCAATGTGGAATTAGCAGAAACTACAGTTCCATTTAAGGCTGCCTGGACAGGAGTCAAGCCTCATAGCCTCATGTCAAAATTTGTTGTTTTAAAACCAATCCTTACAATATGTTACAAAATTAACCAAGCTAGATACCCTTAATTAATAATTTAAAACTCCAGTCTTTCATCTGTATGTTGTAGCTTCTAGCTCCATGGCAGCAGTCAGATTGCTAACACTGAATGCCAATCAATGAGTGAAGTTACATCATCTTTTATATGGTACACAGCTCCGATGTGAGAAAATGAAAAGTTAAATTTAGTGCAGTGTTCACCTTGGTTTTCTATGAGGTTATATCCTCTATTACAGAATGTTGTGGCTTAATGTTTGCTCTTAAAATTTTGATTATAAAATATATTTATGTGGACTTGAAGAAGAGTGGTCATTTACCCACTGATCAAAACTGCAGCAGTCACGCTTAAGTAAAACTCCATCCAATATTGTAACACTTTCAAAGCCAAGGAAGCTACTTCTAACTGATGCCCAGTGAACATTGCAGTAGTGTAATGAGGTCTTACATCTTCCAGAAGTTTCAAAGCGCCACAGGCTCCATCTTGGGAGGAAATCTTAAGTGGAGGAAGACACAAAGAAGCATTATAAAAGCTGTTGACTCTTGTTTTCAGGACTCACAGGTAAAGGGTTAAAGGTCAGTAATGACAGAGGTCGGGTTAAATCAAGTTCGACCCCTGCCTTTAATCAGTACAAGCCGCTTTTTAAACAGGCTGTAAATCTGGGTAGTTTGTGTGTAGATTCGTATCAACAGCCAAAGTGAAACCTTCCCTCCTGAGAGAGAACAGTTCCAGAACTACACCAACAAAACTCATTTTACTGATTAGACATGACAGTGTAGAGGTAAAAAGGAGCGTATTAGTGCAGCCAGCAAGAAAAAGCTTTGCTGAAGTTTGAATAGTCTTCAAACTGCCCTGCTGCAGCAGAAACCCACAGGAGCCCACTGGAAGCTACCGTCTGATTGGTTCAAAGCACTTCAGCGTTAGCCAGAGTGAATCAGCAGAGACAGAGGTGAAGCAGAGGAGGAAGGCAGGGTAGTCCCTGAAAGCACAGCCAAGATTAAACAATACGTTACTCTGAGGTCAAACTATGCTGGAGAAGTTAGAGGCCAGTACAAGTTTACTTGTTTACTTGAACTAAAAATTCCCTTGCACAGCAGTGCAATACAGTCAGGAAAAGCCAAATTAGAGGAGAGCATGAACAGGTCTAGGACTAAATACCATCGTCAATATTCACAAATCAAGACTAAAAGTAGCTCCCAACTTGCCAATTTAGGGGGAACATATCAGTCTTCACTTGACAAAGCAGTTTAAAAATCTGAGAGAAGGTAGAGATAATCCAGAGACAGCAGCATCCATTTAGCAATATGGTCACATATTAAAGATCTAATCATCCCACTAACGCTCAGCAACATCGATCTTCTGTGATCGATCTGATCGTTGATCATTCAAAGACCAACTCCTATCGGTTTGCTTTCATCCCATCTATCCATCCATGTAATATCAAACCCTAGTTTCAATCATATCATCATATGAAAGTCTTTGAAAATGGACTATTTTAAGTTTTTTGTTGCCATTTAAGTCTCAGCTGAAAGAAACTAAGTTGACTTGGGGTCAAAGTAATCAACAGAGTTTCAAATTAAGAAAAACAAAAACCCTGGGACAGACTGGCGACCTGTCCAGGGTGTACCCGCCCCTCGCCCTATGATGACTGGGATGAACATGCACCATTGTAACAGTATTTACATGACACTTTCATAAGAAAAAGCATGACCAATTCCTCTGAAATCAAAACAACCATCATTCAATAAATTAAAAACAATAAATCGATGGTGAACATGTGTTTTCCACATATACTGGTGTAAGGGCACCAAACCACCATATACTGCACTTCTTGGCTCAGGCAAATTATATGGCTTAATAATAATAATAATATAAGCAGACAGGATACTTCTGTACAAAAAAAAAAAGTTTGGTGACACCATTTAGTGTGTATTTAAGTGTCTGACAGTAGGTTTTCTGTAGAGACAGATCTAAAACTAATAAAAGACAGATGAAAGTCTGCGACAGCAACACTAAAACGCTGTTTTTATTCCCACAAACTAACTGCATCTGGTGTGGCTTCATCGCGAACTCTTGATCTATTTTCTGAAAATGTGAACCAGAATCTATAAGCCCAAATGAAGTCCGCAGACACAGAGCTGCGTTAATTAGCCAGATCTCTTTGACATGAACCAAAGCCACATAAAAACAGAGCCCCGCTCCCAGTAAATGGTTTTCCCCGTCTGGAGAGCTTTGGGATTTACAACGCCAGCCCTCGCCCACTCTCTCAGTTGTTGGAGTTTTTAATTGCTCCCTTAACAAAGCACACACACGTAAACACAGCAACATTTTGTGCAGCTGCCTGCATGCATGGCTGTTCAGAAAACTACTCACAATGCACACCACAGTCCCACTCTTTCCTCTCACATGCTCCCTGTTCTTTCAGCCTTCTTGTTAAGCAGCAGCTTCTCCCTGCATCCTGCTCGATGGTGAGGCCAGACTAACTGCATGTTTGTGAGCTCATCATAGTCACTGTCAGATGCTGGAGACTATTAAAGAAAACCAGACTAAGAGCATTAACAAACCCATCATTGTTAGTGTTTTTGTGTCTATGCCTCATCTAGCAGAGTGTAATGAGGAAGGTCAAATACAGACGCTGTAGGTCTCTTTTTAAAAACACACAGGCCAGTGTGTTCTTAAGGCGGGGCCTGGGCTAACAACACACATGAGCTCAGTGGAGTTTGAGCCGAGACGCAGAGCAATTGCAGTGGGGGTGCGGTATGAATTAAAAAACAAACAAACAAGCTAGCATAATGGACAGGTTTTTGATGGGGCTCCCACACAAACTCAAAGCAGAAGATAAAGCATTGTCAAATATGTTTCCAAACCAACTTCCTTCAAAGCCAAATACTAGAAAATATGTGCAAACCAAAAGTAAATGATTTAACCAAGCATTGCTAGCTGCACGCCATAAGACAGGAAGAGGAAACAGTGGATGGAAATAACTCATGTGGTTACGCAGCGAAAACGCAGGGCTTCAAGTAGCTGGTTAAAAAGCTCAACCCAAGGTCCAACATTCCAGGTATAGCAGCAGGTAGAGATTTACTATTGCACTATAATGCTGCCACTACTGGCATCTTGTTGGAACACATTCACACTTCAGATTAGGTAATGTGTCATCAATGACAGCAGCTCACTGAGAAAATGGAATTATTCTAATGCCACTAGAGGATGGCTGCAAAAGCAATCACCATAGACCCCATGCCCCAAATAAGCCAACAAAATAAAATAACTACCTAACTTTAAACTTCTCCATTTGGATATTGTTCAGGCTTAAATTAAGGGACGACTGGCTGATGTGGTAACATAGACCAATGCAGCAGATTGCTCTCCTCTTCACATCCACAATTGTTAGTTACTATACTGAGCCTCTCAACAATGTTTATTTTTAAGTGAACTATGACAAATAATATGGGTTGCTGTGTGGTACACATATGTTCCAGATTAGGTAAGTGACATTATTGTACTGTGTGTATATGTTATTTAGCACTGATTAGCAGGTATCTGCATCCATGTGTAGCACCCACACAATGGATGCAACTTGTAGAGACCAGAAACCGGTGGATGATGTCATAGTGGGCATATCAATCTTTTATACGTAGTCAATAAGTGAAAACGGTAGCATGGTGCCATTGACTAGCTAGCTAGTGTTAGTAGGCTAAGATACCTTTTCAGTGGTTTCACAGATATTCTATACTGTCACTAATAATATACTGTTATTTACTCTGATTGGGGCAATCTGATGACCAAAGATTCAGCATTACAGTAACCAGCTACAGGCCACCTATGCAGGTTTTGCTATGTATGCTCTACATATTAGCATGCATTTATTTATTTGAATAGATTTTATAGTATTATCTACACTGTGTCTGCAGGTTCATCTTCCAGCAATAAGAGAGTACAGCACTGGCATCTATAACAGATAACTCTCCTGTCACTTGCTGCTGCTGATAAAAAAATACTTACTTTAATTTTACAAGAGAAATGTCACTGACGACATAAGACGAGCCAGTGTTGCTTAATAATAGTCAGAAAAGTGTGAAAGCACACCGCTGCTAAATTTAAGAATGTAAGATCTGCAACTAAGCTATCAACGTGTAAAGTTGATGCTGTGGGTGTTTATGGCTGGACTGCCATTACACCCTTGTATCAAGTATAATTCACTGTCAGACTGATTTGATTGCAGGTCAAACAGAATCAAATTTACACTTAGCAGCTTTAAGGAAGCTATTATGCTCCTCCTATTATGCTTTCACTTATTTTCCATCAAATAATGCTCCAATGGTCGATGTTCATTTTAAACAAGGTCAAGGTTTCAAATAATGAGGTCAGTGTATGTATAATGAATCTATGTGAGCCAACAGCTCAGATTGCTCTAAACACTTGGTGTCAGACAGTTTTTCTACTCTTTGCTTTGCATGAAATCCCAAGGTGACCATGTTAGACACATGGTCACCTTGGGAACACAGCCCACTCACCTGTTGTTTAAACATTTTGTTTGGTAGCCAATCAGAAGGAACACTGGGTTTCCTATCTTAAAACACGTATATTCACCCCTTTAAGGCAGATGACATATATGAAACCCTGCCAGCATATATATCCTGCTGTCATCACAATCATTCCTCAGAAAACCTCTAACAAATATGAAGTTTGCTTAGCTGACAGTGCTGAAGTTAGCCACCGCTCTTCAGATGGGGTATAGGCTGCCTGTGAAGCATTAATTTCAAGTCTTCCATGCAGTAGTATCCATTCTTATTTGGATGGACATGCTCAATATTTTGGTATATTCTGCACTTTGTTTGAAAGCGCTTTATAAATAAAGTTATTATTATTATCAAATTGAAGCAAATGAAGAGATCTTCTATTCAATACCATTTCTCTTTACATGAGAAGAAACAGCATGAGGGATGCCCTGCCTGTCTGGGGTCTACAACACTAGCAGAATGCTGACTGAACCCAAAGAAAATGTGTTTTGTCACCAGCTCTAGCGTTCAACCCTGAGGAAGACGGGTGACATTTGTGTAGGAAGTGCTGGGAAAGACAACATATCTGTTTTCTCTGTTTTGCCACACAGTGGTGAAGCTGCAGGTGGAGTGGCATACTCCACTGGTTTTTAGGGTTTTCTTCCTACCCTTAACAATTGTAAAAATACACGCGGCCCTGTTCCCGGATTTTGTTTTAGAGCCAGCCTCTACAAGGGTCAAATCAGTGACTACCCACGTCCCTGTGCCTTGCTATGGATAGTAACTGGACCTGGACGGTGGGGTGGAAGATGGCTTAGTTAACCGAACACATATTGAGCTGTGCCTGGTTGCTTATCTGGCCCTATGGTGGCTTCTAAAGTCTTTCGTCTAAGCACTGCATCTCAGGTGGACAACATTTATTAGACTTTAGTCTTCAGTGCCTCCATCATGCTCCACACATACCAGGCAATATTCTTCTGTTTTACTAGCCAAATGTAAAGCTTTATCTAAACAGAGGCTTTTCCATTCGTTCTGTGGAGGCCATCTTTATAGTTTACAGTACCAAAGATCTCTTGTTGCCTCAGGGTGTGCAAGCACTTTCTACCAGGGGAATGGCAACCTCATGGGCCCTTCTATGAGCGACTATCAGCTGGATGTGAAAGCTCCTTCAGTGGCTCATTCTGTCTTTTCTGTCATGCACTAGGGTGCTGGTGGTTAGGCTCTTGTTTGGTAGTATGAGAGAGATTTTTCCTGAAGGAGAGACACTAAGTACAGCACCAAGTCGCCCCACCACACAGCCGCACTCCGTGAAGAGCCGATATTTAAGGGATAACTGTGAAGACGACAGGGGCTATCAGTGCAGGTGTCACATATGTAATCACATGTAAACAAAGGGGGGAAAATATACCTTATTTTTGCACCTCGTTCCTCTCCTTCACAGAACAGAAGGTGCTTTTTTCCCCCTCTCTCTTTTTTTTTTAAAAATAAACAGACCTTAATGAAACAGAACCTCAAGTACAAATACAACTCCATAGACTCTAGTGCTTAATGTCTTATTAGAATAACAGCAACAAGAAAATCATAGGGAATTATTTTCAATTTTGTTTAGGCCACCCCAGACACACTTTAAGGACCCCTGGTTGTGCCAAGACCCACAAACAAACAGCAGCTTCTTTAAAGGTGAGCAGAGCGATCGATGGCAGTGAAGAGTTGAGAGTTTTAGTGAGCAAGAGGATTAATGCAGCCTGAGCAGAAACAGAAGTGTGTGGTGAACAAGAGAAAAGCAGTAAGTGTGTCATCCATACGAGGTATTAAATTCATCACACACATCGCATGAATGCAAGTGTTGATGTGAAGAATGTAAGCGTGGGAGGAAAATAATGCACGTTTTCTCACCTCTTTGGCTCTCTGCACGGCATCACTGGGGGGGTTTCGGATCTGTGGGGATGACTTGGTGTTGATCTTATCGTAGAGCTGAAAGATAAAAAGCACAAGGACAATGAGCTGGACAGCGAGACTGTGACCAGAAATGAGTTTTCACTGAGGTCAACACGACCAACGACACGTCTTCTACATATTTGCTATATCAGACAAAGCTGTTCATGGCTGCAACATTCACATAGTAACTTCCTGATGCTACATCAATATCGCTTTATTGAACACATTTGAAAATGTGGGAATGTGTACATGCTTCCACTTTATTTTCACGGTTGAGTTCTAATATACATATACGAGTTACAAAAACCCCCAACAAAGAGCAACAACCACAACAAAAATCCCAGCATTACCTTTTTTGGCAATTTGCGCTACAGTAGCTCATCTGTTGGATCGGACCGCGTGGGCCACTTTTTAATCACTGACCACTGCAGACTGGGAACACCCCACAAGATCTGCACTTTTTAAGATTCTCTGACCCAGTTGTCCAGCTATCACAATTGGCCCGTGTCACACACGTGCTCGCATCCTTGCGCCTGCCCATTTTTCCTGCATCCAACACATCAACTTTGAGGACAAGAGAATCCTTAACATAACGCAACCACTAACAGGTGCCATGATGAAGAGATAATCAGTGTTATTCACGTCACCTGTCAATGTTATGCCTGATCAGTGTATAGAGACACATAAGATATGGAGAGAAAACTATATTAATAAAAAACAAAACAAAAAAACCACTACGACAACAAAAAAGAAAAACTCTTCAAAGACCAAATAAGAATGGATAAATGTATTTTGAATAATGTCTTCTGTGGCCAAGGCTAAGCGAAACAGTAAATGGCCTGTACTTGTATAGCGCTTTACTTAGTCCCTGAGGACCCCAAAGCGCTTTACACTACATTCAGTCATCCACACACACATTCACACACTGGTGATGGCAGCTACAGTGTAGCCACAGCTGCCCTGGGGCGCACTGACAGAGGCGAAATCCACAAGAACAGCACACATTTGCAAAATAATGTGTGACACCTTAGAACCATTCAACCACTTCCATCCTCTGACCTTTAGATTTGCTCTCAGCTCCTTCAACAAACCACTGAATGAGGGGATGTTTCAGGAACACTGATGTTTCATTCACTAATAACCAAGAGCACAAAGACATTCTGACAGTAGGCGGTGGCCCAACACCTTACTCTGCTCTTCAGGCTGTTTTTCCCTTTTATATATTATATTAAACACATTATATACATTATATTTAAACCTAGAAAATGGTTAGAGCCTTAATGTTTATCAGAACACGGTCAATGTGCGTATGTGCACAAAACTGCTCAACTAGTACACCTTTCCAAGTTTTATGAGTAGAAATTCAGCAGGTTTCAGCAGCAACAACAACCACATCTCTCTCTTTGGCTGCATCAAGTGCACACAAAATTAAAATTGATGTAACACTTAAACTTAAAGCAGTTTCTATGAAAAAGCGTAAGCTTGAGTGCTGATGCCACTTTTACAGTTTGCCCCCCCCCGTCCTAAAACCGCCACAACCTTGTTTCCTCATCACTCTGACTGAAAGACAACAGACACAAGCTTATAAAAATCCTGTGACTAATAAACAGCACTGCTCCGCATCGCCGATGTTTATTAACGAGACTGCATGTCTGGATAGAAAAGTGGCCCTGGACACAGTCCAAACAAAAGCAGCAGCTGAAGCTCAAATCAAAGCAGAGGGTGGCTTTTTGGAACAAAAGACACAGACAACCACAGCTGTGGAAAGCAGCTCTAATCATATACAAAGCAACAACAATGTGATGTTTGAGGAGCAACTTGTAGTTTTCATTTAACCTGCTCTGCAGTGCATGAGCGGGCTGCATAATGTGTACAAAGAAAAGCACTCTCGGAGGCAGACACAGAGTCACAGACAAACTGTGTTTGTACCAGCCCTAGACTCAACGCTGCTCTGTTCTCCCTCTTACAAACACGACAGCAGACGACATCATGCAGCGCACAATGAAAAACATTAACCTAAAAAATCTTTTTGCATTTTGTACACCAAGTACATGTAGCTGCTGTTTCACTGCACTGAGACATTCACTTTGCTTCTAGTTTGAATCAAAAGTGTCTGCAGCTGTCTTAAGAAAAGCGTGCCTTCGTGGAGGGGGTGAAATGCACAAACAGTCGTCTGTGGTGCTACACATGCCCAAAACTGAAGTTTGAAGTTGTGCGACTAAATACTCGGCTGCCCCAGATTCTTATTTTCTGGTTCACGATCACAAAAAAAGCCCCAAAATATTTTTATATATATATATATTTCTAAAAAAAAATAATTTTTAAACAATGACAATCCTAATTTCCCTCTGAATAATTTACAGGAAGACATGCAGGTGTTATTTGGCTGGTGTTCTAATTGTATTTAAATTGAGCCCATTATGCTCATTTCAACTCCATATTTTAACATGGCCTTTACTAGAGTAGCTTTGCATGACTCACAGCTTGAAATAATCCTTTTTTTTTTCTTTTTTTTTTTTTAACCTAATTCCAGATGTTAGTGCAGCCCATCAGTTCATCCTCTGTCTGAAATGATCCATTTTAGCTCCCTTCCTCTTCCCTTAAGCAAGCTTGATTCTGATTGGCCATCCCAGGTAGACTAAACATTTTAACAGGTGGGCGGGGCTTACATGTTTACAGCCAGAGCTCTGCACCTGAGATGATGATATAGAGCCAGTCTGAATTGGAGCACTTAGAGCAGCATGAAGCTCGAACTTTTGGCTTTTTCACTTGAGCCACAGTGAGTATTTCTCAGGGGAAACAACATTGAGATCTGCTTTGTTTCAACCAGAGCCTTGCCTTATTTTTTGGTTTCAAATGCCATGGCTCCAGTGGGAACACAAAGCTGTGCTTCTTCTGGCATCCACTTAATTGTTTCAGTCTCTTCAGTCTGACTTTCTCCTGCCTTCCTGTCTCAGCGGTGCAGCCTTCTCTCTTACAACATTATCATCACTGTTTCCGCTTCACCTCCAGGTTAATTTTTTTTCTTTATATAGAGAAATAGAAGTGTGGAAATATGCAGATGGTATGTAGACTGAATGCACAAACCTGTTGGTTCAGGTGGTTAAGAAAAGCCTGGGTAGGCACAACAGGCTGGTGTGCATGATTCATAAATCCAATTTTACATATGCACTTTTTTGCACAGGGTAACAATGTTTCCACATCCATATTAATAAAGAACAGCCTTTATTTGTAGCGTTGGTGAGGCTCAGTAATGACACACAAATCTGGAATGCAGTGTTAATTTTAAGTTCTGGATAAGGGAACAGTGACTTCTTTCCATTATAGAGCTGTAGGGGGAAACGAGAAAACATCAGCTATCGCAAGGAATGAGTTGTAAGACACATCTGGTACATTCCTGTAAGTTTCTAATGGTTCATCCACACATGGACATCAGTCCTCTAAACTGGAATGAGGGCTGGCAGACAAAAGAAGAGAGACGTAGGAGAGGAGGGACTGAGTGAATAGCAGTATACTGGGGAGGAAGATGCTGATTACAACATTAGGTAGAGTTCCAATGCCTGTACTGCTGTGACAACCTGACATTGCCAGGAAAAAAAAAAGCCCCAAAAGAAACCTACACAGATTGCACGCACACATCTCAACAGTGCATTTGTATCCAATTCTTTTTGAACAAACTCCTCAAAAGACAAACAGCACACTCCTCAGGAAACCTGAATGGCGGTTGGCACGAGTGCGTGCTGTGCCACACGCCGTCCGCAGCCACTGAGCATTTACGCATATTTACTGCGCTCATGTCCTCATGCTTTCAACATCTTTCTGGTTTTGTTGAGTGTTAAGCAATCATGAGCTGACCTCTGATGGAGTTTTACATAAAAGTGTAGCAAAGACCGAAGTCTGAATTAAGGGTAACAAAAGACAAACCAACCAACAAGACACTCAAAGATATGTGCACAGATGCAGATTTCACTGTTACAGCTGTCACACACAGGCACACATTCGATCATGATCTCGTGACGGCGTGTGCATGTGGCAACAGCCACGACAAACAAACGACGGCTCTTATTTTATGATGAGAAACAGTGTGATTTCCTCATTTCTTATTAGTGACAAGTAAATGCAGACATCAGTTCCTTGAGGGTAACTTCTTTTCCCTCGCCTCCATTAGCTCGAAAGCCTGAGGAGTTTCGGATACACGAGGGAAAAAAAAGAAAAATACAAATGCACTCGACTAAAATGCCTCATTATACATGTCAAACACCAGAAACACACACTGGGGGATGTCGGGTTGACTTCGAATTAGCTTGAGGCATGTCTTGACAAAACTCTTTGTGCTAACACATCAGATGAAGGGAAAAAAACCGGAAGACAACAAACTCACCCAAAAGACAGAAAGTGTAGTGTCACAAAAACACAGCCAATAGATCGCAAACACACAGACATGAGTTTTGTAAGCCAGGAGGCTCCATCCGTTCACCGTCTTCAGGATTTTGTGTATTCCCTCGATGTGCAGACGACTTTGAGCCGCGCATACAGTGATGAAGGGTGCGCTTGCTGTGAATGGCACTGAGGCCTGACAATACCAGCCATTGTTTATTTTCAATGACCGAGGCTGGCCTGTGATGCTCTGTCCTTTCCTGACTCCCCCTCCTCAGAGCAGGGCTGGGGTGTGAAAGTGGGGGTGAACAGGAGAGATCTGCATGTTTGACTGTTTCATGTTATTGTATTTGAGCTGCTTACAACACAGAGTGTTTGTAAAAGGGCTTGGCACTGTTGACTGGAAACTGTATATTCAAAGATGTGGACAAATTTGTCATTGAAACAATGCTTCATTTCTCCTGAAAAATGGTTCAGTTAAAAGCAGTTATCGAATATATACCTGTATTATCTTTGGGATGTAATAGAGTACAATTATCAAAACAAATGCTGCTGTACGGCCTATTTGTAGGCAAAAACATGCAACTGTAGTTTGATATCATTGTGTACAGTGAACATGGATGAGAGAAAGCAAAGGAGAGAGCTGGTTGAGGAGTTCTATAGATAGCAATGTTAAAGACAAAGGCCATAAGACAATCTCCAAGCAGCTTCATGTTCTTGTGACCAAAGTTGACAATAGTATTGCAAATTAGAAGGTTAATGAGACTGTGGCCAACCTCCTGGGACTCAAGAGGAAATGCAAGACCAGGTTGATCAGAAGCATGGTCTGGATGATTGAACAAGAGCAACGAAATCATCCAAAACCAACGAACCAGTGTGTTCTGATCACACCATCCGTTTAATTTTGAACACTAATGAACATCAAAAACAGGAATGCACCAAAATGCATGCTGATGAGCCCAAAAGCTTCTGGGAGGATGTCCTTTTGTCAGATGAGATGAAACTGGAGCCTTTGACCTTTCAGATGAGCTCTGTGTTTACAGAAGGAAAAAATTAAAGAACACCATGCCTACTCTGAAAACTGGAGCTTGGAGACGCTGGCCTTCAAAGCTGAGACAGCTTGAGCAGTTGCTGCAAAAGGTGGTCCTACAAAATATTCTCCCGAGAACCAGCCTATACATTTATGTCACACTGTGGACATTTGGTTTTGGTCTATATCTTTTGACTTATTTGAGCTATCCTACTAAGTCCTGATGTACTAAATAGAGGACATCCTGGGCTTTCCACTGATATCTCATGTGGCCTCTTTTAGCTCCAAAGTGGAAGGAAATCCCCATAAAAGTTCAATGGTTCTCCGGAAGATATTAAATTAAGGGTACCATCTTTGGTGTCCATGCTAAATATGGAAAAATATTAAGGGGATACCATTAGTTACAAGAGTTTGTCTTTTAAATGATGAAGTGTATCTAAAAATTTGTCCACACTTGTACTTTAGAGTGAAAATAACTAAACACATAATTGGCCAAAACTGAGAGCTGAATTTGACCAATCAATCCTACTTTGAGTCAAATCCTAAGTTAAATTCTCCCATTGATTTTAACCAATTTGTTTTAAATGCAGAAATATGTGTATTAAAGTAGCTGAGCTAAATCTCAACACAGAGCACATTAACTGGCATTTGCTCATATTCATTGTAATTATCTTTCACTTAATGATGTGCCTCATTTACTATAAAAACACCGCTCACACCGGCTTTTTCAGTTTAACAAACTACAGCGCAGAAATCAGACTAAACAAAGTGGATCAAAGGAAGAGAAAGCACAGCTGCCTCAGAGGCAAAATGATGTGCTCGGAGTCCAACTAAATCTTAAATGTGGTCTGGCCCCTGTGCTGCGATTTTGTGACCCAATACGGTTTGAATGTGGCGCACCAGTTGTAGGTCACGGTCTGCTGCTGTCACCTACGACTCAGATGTTTCTGTCAACATCCCTGAGTCACGGAAACAAGCAGCAACCGGACCATTTGTCAAGCCCAAGCGAGCTGCTGCTGCTGCTGTGTTAAGGACACATCTTAAAAAAACAACATGACCTTTTCATAATGCCTCCAGAGGAAAGAGCATCCCCGTGTGTGGAAAGATGCTATTTATGCCTTATATTACAAGCAATGACTGAATCTTATTAAGGGGTTATTTCCACAAAGACATTGTGCCCCCTCCAAAAACACTGGTTGAGAGGTACATCACAGTAGTGGAATGGGGGCACTAAATGCTTTCCTAAAACCCAAAGCATGTTTACAGTTGACCTGTTAGGCTTTTCCTTATTTTCTGTCTTTTATTTATTGTTACAAAAGTTCATGCCTATATTAAACATGTAAAGTTTGAAAGCCATAGCTGTACAAGTTATGGCTGTACGTCAAAAGCTCAGGCTTCTGTCTGCTCTAAATGATCCATTTCACACACTTTTTTCTACACTAACCTGTGTATGATATCACAGAGAGGACCTATCCCTTTTATAATACAGTACTGTCCCTGACCACAGACGCTGCACGCACCTGCTGTTCGACCCTAAAACATTAAATTGAACTATGAATAATGCAAAACGTCACTATCAGAGGCCAAAGTTAAAAAAAATGCAGAGCTGGAAAAGAGCAAAAAAAGGCTTTAATATTCATGCGTGAGGCTGCTTCCAAATCCCCTCGCTGCAGAAAGAGTGGCTGCTCTGTCCAAACCGAACTCACAGACGAGCAGCAGAATAAAGAGGTAATAAAGTTTATAACACATGATTATGTAGCAGTAAGAAACACATATTTTTAAAAAGGTCTTTGTTAACAACACCTGTAAGAAGAGGCTGTGGAAATTGTTTCACAGTAAAACAGAGCTGTAGTATTAAGTGATGATTTCATAGGAGCAGCTGGGATTATCAACAGTTTCTGTGTATTAACACACTGTACTTTACATGTGATGTTAGGGCTGCTCAATTAATCAAATTTTAATCTAAATTACGATCTGGGCTTTCAACGATCATTAAAAATGACTGAGCCGATTATTAGCCCCTCCCTCGTGCTTTACTCTCACGCTGCTCCGTGTGGCAAATCGAGCGCACCTCTCTGCGTTCCGAACACATGTCACAACAATTAAGAGGACCCGAGGGAAGCTCGGAAAGCTAAGCAGAAGTTATTTGGAGAGGAGAGTGACTGCCGTTGGTTGAAAAGAGAGGTAAAAAAAAAACTTCAGTGGTGTGGAAACATTATGGGTTCGTGGAGTCAGACGTGGATCAAGTAGACACAGTGTGTAAACTTTGCTACAGTGTCGTAGCTGCACCACAGAGCAACACTGCAAAGTTCACTAAACATAGATGTTTACATTTTTCATTTATTTTTTATATTGCAAACATTTGCACTGTTATCAGTATTATTTTTTGACAATCTTTAAAGCCATTATTCAATACATTGTTATTGTTAAATAAATATCGTCAAATAATCGAGATCTCAATTTCAGTGAAAATAATCGTGATTATCATTTTTGCCATAATCGAGCAGCCCTATGTGATGTGTTTTCAAAGTGTTCCTGAATTCTTTTTTGAGCAGTGTATTAAAGGATTTCTTGTAAACCTAAGATTCCTTAAAGGCACTAAATGGAATAATCCCTAATGTTTCTGCTTGACAGCTGTTTAAAGTGGAGATGAAAGGATAGAACAATGAATTTCTGTCAGCCAGTAAAATTACAGCAAGCACAATGCAAGTAAAGAAGAAAAACAAAAACAGGTCCACATATTTACTGAAGTATCGAAAAACACATTTACAGGGTTGTCTGTGAAGGTTCTCAGTCATCCAGGTCATCGTAGTCTAAGGAGCTTGCAAAGAAAAGCGTCCGGACTTCTTTAAGTTGCTTGAAGACGTTTCACCTCTCATCCGCGATTTACGGATTGGTTGGTTTATGACACTAACTCTCTGCCATCTATAATCCAGTTTTGAGTTCCCTCCCCAGACGCCTGAACGCCCACTCACATCCTGGGCCATCTGACCTCAGGAATTCGCATGATAAGGTGGGGCCAGGTTTCACAATGACTCACCCGAAACTCTGGCTGATTGGGACCCACACCCAGTTTCACACCTTGGCTCAGGCGATTAGAGGATCATCAGGGGGTCCTTTTGTCCCTCTGTGGGGGGTACTCCCACTGGTGGTGGTCAGAGGGCCCGGTGGCGCCAGTGTCCGGCAGCCTCGCCTCTGTCAGTGCGCCCCAGGGCAGCTGTGGCTACAATGTAGCTTGCTATCGCCAGTGTGTGAATGTGTGTGTGAATGGGTGATGACTGAATGTAGTGTAAAGCGCTTTGGGGTCCTATGGACTAGAAAAGCGCTATACAAATGCAGGCCATTTACTAGGTTTAAATCTGGGACTCTCCACCATTTGACCTTAGAACTGAAGAAGCTTCTCGGATGAGAGGTGAAACGTCTTCAAGCAACTTAAAGAAGTCCAGACGCTTTTCTTTGCAAGCTCCTTTGACATTTACAGGGTTATTAATACATGTTTAGATCAAGCTTCATGTGCGATAGAATGGGTGCAGAAGTTTCCGTGCACTGCAACAGCCTAACGTTGGATTTGTAGGCTATGAAAGGCAACCACAGTGGACTCTTTAAAATAAGGGGATGCAACTGAAATAAAATGGACATCTGGCTATACATCTAACATTTGTGCATGCTTTTGGAATAATCATCTGAGTGACAATGACCTGGAACAGAGCTAGTTCTCAATGTCTATTTTTAGCTTAGGCTCAGTTCACACATCACTGTGCGATCTGCACAAAACTCCCATCCTTACAGTTAACGACGCACAGTCAACTGTAAACCAAATACCAGAAAATGATATTAAAGTTTCATTTTTTATAAATAATATTAAAAAAAAACTATTAATGGAAAAATACAACAACAAAAATAAAACACACTATCTCCCACTGTTCCAGCTGTTAGAGTGAAGTGTTGACAATCGCTCATTTGCTTGTGTGACACTTACATCGAGCAGTGTGTGTAGATGCTGGTCCTGGAAAACACTGTGGAGGAAATCTAAATCTTTTTCACTGCAGTCCGTCAAAGCGTGGATCTCCTCTAAACTGTCCAACACCTGAGACACAGCACCTGCAAAGCACGCACGTCAGAAGTCCATCAGTCACTCAGCAAATCTGCACAGCTCTCAAGCGCCAAAACAGTTTCTCAGTTATTCAGCCTGGCTGCACTTTCGATTAGGTCTGTCACAATAATGACCTCCATTTCTTTCCAATACTGATCTACAGTTCAGTTCCTCAGCCACCAAAACTTTGGCCGATTTAAATTTAGCACATCTCTACTTTAAGATCATCAGGGCTGTCTGTGTGAACTCGTCCCTCAGCATGAGATTATCGTAGTGGGCAGGTGCACAGCTCATTTAGAGAAAATATCTATTTCAAAAACAGAATCTAATTTAGTTTCTTCTACTTATCAGAGTTACAAGACTTAAGTTGAATTTACTACACAGCGCACAATGCATACGTGCAATGGGACAGAACAAGCCTTAGAGGAGGGGCACAAGAAGATTTTTTAAAAAGAGACAAATTTGATATCAGGTAAGGTTGTGATCACTCCTCATACACCGGCATGACCTCTAAACTGTTATAACAGCTCCTGTGTTTAAGTGTGGGTTTGTAATATAAAAATAACTACACTTCAGGGATCATACCAGAATAAACAGCAGGACTATTACTTCCAGGCTGGACTACTGTAATTCATTATTATCAGGATGTCCAAAAAACTCCCTGAAAAGCCTTCAGCTGATCCAAAATGCTGCAGCAAGAGTCCTGACAGGGACTAGAAAGAGAGAGCATATTTCTCCTGTTTTGCCTTCCCTTCCTGTTAAATCCAGAATTGAATTCAAAATCCTGCTCCTCACATACAAGGTCTTAAATAATCAGGCCCCATCTTATCTTAATGACCTTGTAGTACCATATCACCCTATTAGAGCACTTCGCTCTCGCTCTGCAGGCCTACTTGTTGTTCCTAGAGTATTTAAAAGTAGAATGGGAGGCAGAGCCTTCAGTTTTCAGGCCCCTCTTCTGTGGAACCAGCTTCCAGTTTGGATTCGGGAGACAGACACTATCTCTACTTTTAAGATTAGGCTTAAAACTTTCCTTTTTGCTAAAGCATATAGTTAGGGCTGGACCAGGTGACCCTGAATCCTCCCTTAGTTATGCTGCAATAGATGTAGGCTGCCGGGGGATTCCCATGATGCATTGAGTTTTTCCTTTCCAGTCACCTTTCTCACTCACTATGTATTAATAGACCTCTCTGCATTGAATCATATCTGTTATTAACCTCTGTCTCTCTTCCACAGCATGTCTTTATCCTGTCTTCCTTCTCTCACCCCAACCGGTCGCAGCAGATGGCCCCGCCCCTCCCTGAGCCTGGTTCTGCCGGAGGTTTCTTCCTGTTAAAAGGGAGTTTTTCCTTCCCACTGTCGCCAAAGTGTTTGCTCATAGGGGGTCATATGATTGTTGGGTTTTTCTCTGTATCTATGAAGCGCCTTGAGGCGACTTTTGTTGTGATTTGGCGCTATATAAATAAAATTGAATTGAATTGAATTGACTGGCACTACCATTCCAGGACTTGGACACAACATCTAATCGTTTTTTTTAGGTGGCATAAAATGGCCACAACAAACTTGCTTTTAACAGTTAAATGTGAAACAACATATCAAATAGCAAAGGTAGTTATGGTGACAGGGCTACACAAACTACTACAATGCACAGCACAGAGAGAACAAACAGGTACCTACGTTCTGCTGCTAGCAGTCCTAGCATGTGGGAAGCATTAAGAAAAATACACAAAAAATGAAAACATTGGCATTGTGCATTTGCTGCCATCAACATTTAAACATTCAGAAGCAGTTGCTTCACAAGTGCCTCTGAGATTAACACTGATAAACTGGAAATGATTTGTGTTTTCAGTTGCTGGAATCTGTATGAGACTTAATCTTCATAAAGAGATACTCAGTAGATCCTCTGATTACAGCTCTTGTCTTTGGTGTATATTTAAGAGCTTGTTGCACAAACTTTCTTGTAACAACCTGCACAGGGCCTTACAGAGAAAGGAGAACTCAAACATGAAAAAAAGAGGAAGGAAATTAGAGGGAGAACGTGTGATTATTTAGCCAAAAAGACAACAAAGAAGAGTTTGACTTCTGTGTCTTTATCTACCTGAGGATGTGGGATCATCGGAGAAGTCTTGGAGTTCCTCGGGTGGATCTCCGTAGAAGGAGTTGAACTTGTGACTGGACACTGCAGCCAGCACGGCCCCCTGAAACCACAGCAGGAACATGAGCACGTGCATCTGTGGCCCCAGCTACGTATATCATCAATACACACTGAAATGATATCATGAACAGAAGTCTTGAATATTACAATATGATATTGTAATATTAAACCTTGAGCTTCCTCCTGGCGTTGAACTTTCTCAGCTGCTCCACGGTTTCCGGCAGGTGGATTTTGTAGGCGTACCGATCCCTCTCCTTAGAAAGAAAACACAGAGAGGAAAATTGCTTACACGAGCTTAAACTGACTTCTTACACTGGGATGATTCTACTGAGTTCTGCTGAGCCATGTTTGGCACTGTCATTATAGCATGGACCATTTATTGGACACTACACTTTGAAAGCAGTGGGCTTTTACCAGTCAGAGAAGGTCAAATGAAAAAGGGTGTGTTAAAGGACATGCATTATGTATGGACTAAATAATTCATTCACACCTGAAATTAAAATGTTGTCTGTACCTGGAGGACAAGGAACAAAACCCCCCAAACTGTTATGCAGATATAAATGGTAGTAAAATGCACTGGGATCAAAGCAAGACCAGCTAACCCACAGATCCCAGTTTGTGTAAACACAATCTGTACAGTGTTCATACTCTGAGGAAATAAAGAATCCACCTGGGAAGATGAAGGCTTGTCCATGTTCTCTTGCAAATCTAATAAAAATTGTCCAATAATTTAATTTTGTACTCTTGAAATTTTCCCAGACTCGTGGTGGACAGTCACCAAAAATTCCAAACATTTCCTCCCCCAAAACTAGCACTTACATTACCCACAATGCACTGCAACAGAAAGTTCAGTTAAAGGCTAAAGCATGAATTAAAGTAATGTGGTTGCAGTCAAACCTTAGGCTTTCAAGAAAGCCACATGTTGCAGCAATGTGGCCTGTTACAGCTTCGATCACTTCTATGTTACAATATGTTATGATGCTTGCTGCTCTATTAACATATGCACTCTGTTCTTCTTTTCTATGTTTCATTGACATCTACAGGAAGCGGTGCCTGAGGAAAGCGGGGAGGATCATCAAGGACTCCAGTCACCCCAGCCATAAACTGTTCAGACTGCTTCCATCAGGAAGGAGGTTCTGCAGCATCCGGTCCCGTACCAGCAGACTGAGAGACAGCTTCTTCCACAGGCCATCAGACTGCTGAACACGTCATAGACACCTCAGCTTCACTACTGGAACTTTAACATTATGCACTCCATACTGTACAGTAAGCCACTGTTTTGCACATGTCTCAACTCTGTATATTTATTTTATATATTTTATTTATTGTTTACTCTATTTAATTTGTAAAATATGTGTACAACACACACACACACACACGTAGAAAAATATTTAGTATACACATCCAGAAATGCATATACTATTATATATTGTACATATATTTATTAGTTTCAGATGTAGCCATTCTTGTATTTTGCTTGTTTACATTATTGTATTTTGCACAACTCTGTTGCTTGTGAAGCTCGCACACAAGAATTTCACTCACATGTGCTGTACCAATGTACCTGCACATGTGATGTGACAATAAAAGTGATTTGATTTGATTTGATTTGAAAACTCTACGTGTGATGGCAGATGCACAGCAGGAGCAGATCGCTGAACTGAGAGTAATTAAATGTCTTCAACATCTTACGACAGACTTTGGAGGGTATAAGTGGCAAAATGTGGCTGGATGTTTTCTGATGCAACTTCCAAAAAGAACTCTTCAGGTGTAAAACCTATGTGCATTTTTAAATCTATATTCCAGATTATATGTGGAAACAGGTTAAAGGTACAAGTAAACAAACGCTGTAGCATGTTTATCAGGTACTATTCTGATGAGAACAATAAATCACACAAAGTAACATCACTTGCAGGCAGGCTGCTGCAAACAAAAACGTTATGCCAGAACCTTATTAAATAATGTGGTTCTGGCTAATTAGCCACATGGCGCTGCCTCACAGTGTTTGTGTTGCCGTCAGGCTGTCAGAAAGCTGCAGTGGGAGTTTTGCCACATTTTTGGTTCTCTGCCTCTGATGTAATTTGGTAAAAAGAAGAATTCAGGTTAGGTTTCATGCACTGCACAACTGTGTGGGTTTGTCTGACATTCTGTTGAAAAGGGGAACGTAATCAACACTAAACAGAGTCTTGCACTGCTCCAGCTCGATCTCTCAGACAAACACTGATGTGTCTAAACTTTAGCAAATCAGGGACACCTATAACGGAGTAAAGTGCAACGCTGAAAGTAGGGGTGTCCTTTAAAACTCAGAGATTTGATTGATGTGTCAGACCACTTCCAGATGAATTCCAAGTCCCTTGGCAGAATTGTCAAGAAATCATTTTTAAGTACCCCTCCATCCCTGCCCACAGAAGAAGACACAATAAAAGCTTCCTCTGACAACACATGACAAGCGCCAACACCACTGAGCTGGCACTTCCTGTCATTGCTTTCCTGCTTGAATAGCTGACTGATCATTGCGTGTCAACTTCAGGCGACGTGGCATTAGTATTCCACTTGTGTCAAAAAAAGGCTAAAAGTTTTACAGAAGTCAAAACTTTGGATACATGTCAGTGCACGCTTACTATTCCTCAAAGGGATAAAATGGAGCCCAGCATAATGGTCAAACTATATCAGATTTGACACAAAGACTTTAAGATCTCACAACACCAACCACTATGGGATGTTTCTCAGTGCCCTGCAGTACCTTGAGCCAGGGGTGGTTAAGAGCCTCGTAGACTGTGATTCTCTCGGCGGGATCCAGCATCAGCATACGCCTCACCAAGTCCTTAGCGCTCTCTGAGATGTGATTCCACTGGCGGGGATTCATCTACACACACACAAAAATACCAAAACAGGAATATGAAATCATAAGTGTCATGTTGGCATCGTCCATTTGTCCCTGTGCTATACATACAGCAGTCTCTGGGGATAATAAATGAAGCCAAATACTGCAATCCCTCCAGTGGCCATTTATGTGGGGTGTGATAGTATATATAAATACACACACACACACACACACACACACACACACACACACACACACACACACACACACACACACACACCTGAATTATATATATAATGTATTTGTATTGCCCAGTATCTCATAAAGGTTTAGGTTGCTTCACAGGCATAAAAAACATTTTAAGAAACAGGTGAATAGTCCAACAGATAGAAGTTAAAGGCCAAAATCATATTCAGTGGTATTCGTATTATTATGCACAACTTGACAACAGATCCAGGTTAAAAGAAGTTGGGTGTTTGGTACAGGATTCGTTTCCATAAAAATAATTTAATTCCATTTTATTTGTATAGCACCAAATTACAGCAACAGTCGCCTTTATTTTGTAAGGTAAAGACCCTACAATAGTACAGAGAAACGTTCAACAATCAGATGATGCCCTATAAGCAATCATCATATGATTGTTGGGTTATTCTCTGTATGTATTATTGTAGGGTCTACCTGACAATATAAAGGGCCATGAGGCCATGTTGTTGTGATCTGGCACAGTATAAATACAACTGAATTGAACTGAATTAAATTGAAGCAATCACTTGGCAATAGCGGGAAGGAAAAACTCCCTTTTAACAGGAAGACACCTTCAGCAGACCCAGCCATCTGCTCCATCCAGTATTAATAATGCTGTTATTAAAGAGAATGTGTAATGAATGTTAGTATTAATGCTCTAGAGCAGTTTAATAGGAGACTGAACTTTGAAACATCTACCAGATAAGGCATGAATCCACCTCTACAGTGTTTGCTCTTAATGTGGTGACTCTTGTCTTTGTAGGATTTATAAGGAACACACAGCGGCGCTCAGACTGTGGCCGCACTTTGAATGGACCCTGACCTTGTATTTGCCCTTGCAGATGGCTTCAAACAGACGCTCCTTGGTGCCATAAAAAGGGAGACACCCCGAGAGGAGGATGAAGAGGATAACGCCACAGCCCCACACGTCCACGGGTTTACCATACGGCTCTCTCTTCACCACCTCTGGGGCCATAAAATGGGGAGTTCCTACGCGACCTGGAGTTACAAACAGAGCGTGCAAGTCAGGTAACAGTTCCAAAATAATAACATTTTGACAATAAAACACGCAGAGCGAAACTTCCTTGTTGGTTCCCCAATCATTTCGATTCTTATGTTTGCTGAAATTGAAAAGGAAGTAGTTCAAGTTTTATTTCCTTTGTTTTTCCCTAATTACCAACTACCAGAAAGTAATGGCTCACAATCAAGTGAAAAGAGGAAATGATACTTTACTTTGGGTGACTTCCTATTTTGATGCAAACTAGGAAGCGCACAGGTTTAAAACTAAGACAGTTTCTAATGTGCAGCGTTCTTACATTTCTTACAAGTTCTCAGTAGCTGATACTGTCTACTACTTTATCTGTCCTTTATTAGAGTGAAACTAAAATTATGATGTTATCCCAAGTTAGTTGCAGCAATTTAAATGCTGCAAAACTGTTTAATTACTTTGGTTTCAACAGTCAAACAGGCAGTTAACCAGCTGAGCAGTGCATTTCTCTCCAAGTAAAGACTTTTAATGTAAAATGAATTAATTTAAAAGGTTTTAAGAAATTCTGCAACTGTTAATCTGCATTTGACAGATGCTGAACAAAATCTGACTCATAAAACGGGTACTTCATTTGTACGGGAAATCAGTTACTGTGCATGGGAGTTACTACTGACTCAGAAATAGCTGAAATAACCAGCACAAAAATCAATGTCTGGTCAGAATTAGCAACAGCACCAACACACCGATTCCAAATCTGCAAGATGTGGTTGCGATCAGCAGTCTATAAAGGAAATTGCCAGTATACAAAGGAAGCCTCCCTCTGCCATGAGCACTCCCACACAGAGACTCAAAGTTTGAGCTTTACTCAGACTTGATTTTCTTTTTCTAGCTGAGGTATGGTACACAATCTTTTCACCAAGTTGATACCTTAAGCGTAGTGTGTACAGATTGACGATGAATTCTTAAAAAGCAAAAATTATTAAATTTCCATGTGACAGCTCTCCATTTAAAAGTCAAGTCGGCTGTCAGTTTCTGGCATCATTGAACAAACACTGATACCATCTTAACACAGTGTCATGAGTGTTAAACTGTATTAAGTGCTCGTGACGGAAAGTGGAATTCTGCACCTCCTCCTGTGTTTTAAGGCTTTAGGGCTGTGACCGGGTAAACTTTCAGGTTGGATCAGGTGAGGTAGCCTAAAAAGAGAGGTTGCTTTTAAGCAAACAAACAATTGCATCCTATCTCTTTTCATAAAAGCCTTTAACTTGAAATTTAGAGGAAAATATCACAAAGTCAAGAAAAGATGTGAAGGAAAGGACTTTCAGCTCCTGACTGAAATTACCCAGGTTGCCTGAAAGCACGATGTGCTGAAAGTATGATTTCCTAAAGATGCACCACGGAAATCCATGTGTTCTCAATGTGTTGTCTTTTGCAAGCTATTTAGCTCCCCCATTACTCATTTAGCATTCATTCATTTCAATTCATTCATTACAACTTAAAAATATCATTATTATATTAACAAATATTACCCACTCTGCAGTCCCCTCATATTTTTGTGCTTTAACTAACATCATTAAGATGAAAACACTTTAAATCTCGCCTTTATTAAAGCATTTAGGATCTCTGAAGTGAAATTAATTCTAAATAACACCAAAATGAGGAGAAAACTATATAAATTGAGTTATAATCACTATCCATCCATCCATCCATTCGCTTCCGCTTCTCCTTTTCAGGGTCGCGGGGGGCGCTGGAGCCTATCCCAGCTGTCATAGGGCGAGAGGCGGGGTACACCCTGGACAGGTCGCCAGTCTGTCGCAGGGCTAACACACAGGGACAGACAACCATTCGCATTCACATTCACTCACACATTCACACCTAGTGACAATTTGGATTTTCCAATTAACCTATCCCCACAAGTTGCATGTCTTTGGACGGTGGGAGGAAGCCGGAGTACCCGGAGGGAACCCACGCAAACACGGGGAAAACATGCAAACTCCACACAGAAAGACCCCGGCCTGATGGTGGAATTGAACTCAGGACCTTCTTGCTGTGCGGCAACAGTGCTAACCACCATGGCACCGTGCTGCCAAGAGTTATAATCACTATAATCATTAATTCACTCTGATAAACCCACCTTACAAAGTGTTTCACACAGGACACAACTAATGAAGCTCCATAATTTTTACAAATCATCTGTGGGTTTAACAGCTGTTGAGATTTTAAAAAATATCCACATATTAGTGATGCATAAGAGTAACACAGTAATACAGAATTGACTTGCCAACATCGCCTTTCCTTATATAAAGAACGCTCCAGAGTATCCTCTGCTCAAGAACATAAAGGAGGCGCCAAAATATCTTCTATCTTATATTACAGCATCTTGGTCATTTCACTTTTGCTCACTGACTATTTCACTGCAACCAAAGTCTTCTTTACCAGTGAGCTGTGGTAGCTTAATGACTTAAAGGCATGACTTTCACCCAGGGGAGTGCACTGTCTCTGTGAATGGTCATTGGGGCTCAGGACAGGTTTCTGCCTGTTGTAGTTTTAAGTTGTTCATTTATGAACTGGAATCCATGAATAAACAATTCAAATGGTTTCCAGCTTCTAATTGTTTCCAGTCAGCCAAATTGGAAGCAAAAAATATATCCAGTAAACTTTTGGCAGATCCTATTAATGATGTACTGATGAATATACACGCTCAGTTATCATGAATATCATATTCTATAATTTCAAGTAAAGTATTTATATATAATATGCTGGGAAAGTCACTCTAAATTATATCGATATGTGTCATAACTATGTGTTTTTCTCAGTTCTTCTTTATGTCACAAGAGTCATAAACCCTGTGTCCCTTATGTCACAAGTGTTTAAATGGTGTCTTCAACAATAAGTTCAATTATGGAGCAGAGACGTGTTCTGTCTCTTTGATCCCATCTTAGTGGAACTTTTCCCACAAGTCAGAAAAAATAAAAATCTCCCTAAACAAATGGTGACAAGGCATGCAGGGAGAATCCCGCTGTGTTGTGGTGTTTACTGTACCTCCTGCCACCAGTCCTGACTCTCCGAGCTGGATCGCCACTCCGAACCCGCCCAGCTTCACTGGAGCCGAGTTCTCTTTAGATGCCAGCAACACGCAGTGAGGCTGGGAATGAGAGAATGGAGAAGGAAACAGAGATTTTAGCAAATTAAAGAGTGAAATTCTCCTATAAATAACAGACATTAAACGAGCCAGACACACCCCAAACCACCACCCACCACGGCCACACACAAATAACTGAGTGTGGGAAGATCAGAGTAGGAAGTTTGCTGTAGTGTCTTTATACGACTCCAGTTATTTTAAATACAACGTTGACTTTTGCTTTTTTGATCATGCTGTCGTCACACGCCATGAAAACACAGATCGGTATTTTCTTCCCAAAGCATCAAGTAATGCAGCCACAACATTTCAGTCGAGCAGTTTTGCACATGGCAACACCTATTTAGTTTCACATTTCATTTCATTAACATTTGTGGTCATCTGCAGCATCCTTTCTATCATATAGTGTTACTTTGTGGTTTAATGTGGACTGATACGGATCTGAAAAACAGCAGACAGAAACAGTTTTACCGTGCGGGAGCTGTTGAACGGAGTATTAAAATTTCTGCTTTTGCTCAGACCTCTCTAAATTCTTTCTAAAAATCTTACGTGAGGACATTAAATACCATTTTGGAAAAAAAAAAAAAAAGGGGGGGGATTACCACAGTTGACCACACTCTGCAGATTCCTCCAATAGCCAGAGTCCAAGGTGGAAAGCATACTGTACACAAGTGAAGCATGCCCTGTGAGTATTTCCTCTCATGTGTATAATCAGAAGGCCTCTCTCTCTCTCTCTCTCTGCTTCTGTATGGTGCTCGGAAGAAAAGAGGGGGGCTGACCACAGTATGAAATTTCCTCTGTGCAACATTACCGCATTCTGCACTTCAGCATTTCTGACTGCACAGCTGTGGACAGGCGCTTATCTTGAAAGTGAGATAGGACAGTTAGGGAAGCCAAAAAGAAAAAAAAAAGAAAAAACTGAAGCTGAGTCTACACAGTACTATTCTGTGACGATGATAGTATTTGCTCAACGCGAGTTGGACTACAGGAGAAAATCGAACATGAGATGACACAAGGAACTATTTCCATTTTTTCAGAGCGGCAAATTTGGATTTTTCCTGCATGTTCAACTTACAGGGATATCCTGGAGTACCTTAGAGGAAGACAAAAAGACTGCAAAACCTGTAAGTGTGTATGTGTGTGAGGTTGGAACTGATCCTCACCGTTCACACAGCCCTTTACACAAAGAAAGGAACACATACTTCTTTTTTAATGAACTCCAATAACTAGGTGAGTGTTTTGAAAAGTTCCTTCTTTTTTTTTCACACTGTGTGCAACACAATCGCGCTGAGCTGTGAGGAGAGTAAGCAGTTTCCTTTTACTGCTATTTCATTTACTGATCTTTTGATATACTTCTCTTGAAGTAAACTGACTGAGCACATACACATCATTTTAAAACTGCTTGGCTGCGGTAATGTGCAAAAGATACCAAAGAAATCCTGAACAGGTTATTCACATGTTTCTAGGGCTTTCCAGTTCCTGAGGGTATGATGGTAAGATTGTGTTTTGCAGGGCAGATTAATGCTCACACCCACAAACCTGTACGTATGAAAGCCCTTTCCCAAAATGCAAATTATTCCATGTGTGCCCCTCATCTGTTTGCAGGACTGTCAATCCCCTGAAAAAAGACACCATGGCAAAAAACTTCTCCTGTAAGAACCAAACAACAAACTTAACCCTTGACCCGTGTGGAGATGACGACACACTGCAGGTCCTGCTGGCAGTGAGCTACTCTATAATCTTCATCCTGGGTCTAGTCGGGAACCTGGTGGCTCTGTGGGTTTTCTTCTGCGTCCACTCCAAGAAGAACTCTGTTCGAGTGTTTCTCATTAACATTGCATTGGCAGACCTGCTGCTGGTGGTCTGTCTGCCATTCAGGATACTCTATCACAGCCAAGGTGACAAATGGAATCTGGATCCCACCGTGTGTAATGTAGTGGGAAACCTCTTCTACATGAACATGTACATTAGCATCACTCTGTTAGGGCTGATCAGTGTGGATCGCTACTTTAAGATCCACCAAAGTGTAGGAATGCAGCGCAAACTCTGCTCCACAAAGCTCAGCTTCGCCCTGTGTGCCATCGTCTGGATTGTGTCCACTTGTATCATTTCAGTGATGGTGTCATCAACGAATGACTCTCCACATGTGGGCAGGTTGGTAAAACCTTTAAATCTTCTTTTTTTTACCTTACTGTTAAAGTCAAAGATCTGCAGTGGCCAACTTGTGTGACAAAATGTATTTCCTGTGTCCAGGTGTTTCCACTACAAGAAGCTGGATAATACAAAGTGGAAGGCTTACATCAACATGTGTACGGTGGTTCTTTTTTGGTTAGTCTTCATCTCTCTCATGATGTCCTACGGGAACATCGCACTCAAGCTGCTGAGGACATCACAAGCAAATCCAGATCTGCCCAACTCCACTCGCTACACTCGAACGGCCAAGAAGTCCTTCTTCATCCTCTTTCTCTTCTGCATCTGTTTTGTGCCCTATCACGTGGTCAGAGTGTTTTACATAAAAACGCAGATCACAGACACTTCGTGTTTCTGGATGTGTGTCGCTGACAAAACCAACGAGGTGGCTCTGCTGTTTTCTGCCCTCAACAGCTGCCTGGACCCTGTCATGTACTTCCTGTTATCCTCTTCAGTGAGGAAGGAGGTGCTGCGCTTGGTGAACAACATGATCTGCTTAAGAGATGTTACAGGCATCAGTGGGAGCAGCTCCACTGCTGAGATGGATAGTAGAAATGGGAGGACTGACAGAGAACACCCAAACACCAGTCTAATTAGTAATACAAAGATAGAAAGCGGTTTATAAATCCCCACACAGCAGAGCGGTGACTCTACTGACGTAAACGTAAATATGACAGAAGCCAGCAGAAGAAGAGGAGCGTGACAGGGCAGCTGCTGCTCTTGCCTGTGCGCCTTTACTTGGTGCTTACCTAAGAAAAACCTTTGAACTAAGGCTTATTTTGAAAAGGTTTAGGACGACTTCGCATTATTTTATGCAGAGGAAAAGTACTGGCTCTGTTACACTGTAGGGCCTATGATTAGTCCTGTGATTAAACATTTGTGTCATGATGGGAGCGGGCTCTTTCCACTGAGCCTCAATATATAAGACTTGGAATGACAGAGGAATATCTATCTGCACCAGAAACTTGGACACGCAGTGACAAGGAACACTGAAGCTGGTGGTCCCGCAAGTTACTGTGGGTTTTGTTTTCTGTACCCAGTCTGTAACTGGGTTTGTAGATGTGTCGTCTTCGATGGTAAAGAATCCCCCAAAATTCCTGAGACCCACCTCTGGAAACTTTTTTTCATGTAAATCCATCCTTAATGTTACAAGTAATCCTGCAAATTAAAAAATATGTCCTTTCTTATTATAGAGAAATTTGAATGTACTTGTGTGCCATGAGACATTTTGAGTTTTCATCATCAGCATCGTTTTGATGTTTGAATCCAAATAGTTTCAAAGATGGAGGGCAAAGTAGTAGGGCAACCCCTCACCACACACACACACACGTAGCTAGGGGTGTTTGACTTTGCCAGATGTGACAGTAAAAAAGCAAAAATAAAAATACTTAAGTCCATCAAAGGCAGGACCACTTGGACACCGCTCGAGTGAAACTGTGAACTTAATCGGGGCCTGAGCAGTTCCTTTCACACCCATATGCTGCATTAATCTAGTATAAGCACTGATAAACGAGAGACACAAACCACAATTACACAGATAGAAACATGATGACAAGTCAATACTCTTCCCCTCACTGCATTTATCAAAGCATTTGTCACATACTGTTTAAATATAAACGTGTGTGTGACCCTGCAGATGGCCATATGTCACTAACAAAACACGCTGAAGACAAAGTGAAGGAAAGGTGATGGGAACTTTGCAGATTCAATCAAAGCCTGAACTTTATGGTAGTTATAACAGCATTAGAAAAAACAAACAAACAGGGAAATGATTACTGAGGTGAAAGCATGGGGCTTCACTGATAAATACCACTTCTCACAGGGCAAAATGCCTTTTACGTATTAAGAAAAGCTCTGACATTTACAGAAGTCTGTTTTCAAAGTTTGTTCTGGATCTTGGTGTGATTTATTTCATAAAGCTTATGTTAATGTGCCAAATTGTGCTTTTCTAAATAAAGTAGGATATAAATAGTCCTGTGCTAATCAATGTTTATCATGCAGCGTGTCCCTTATTATGAAAGGGAAGTGTGTGTAGGGACTCAAGAACCAAACAACTCTTTCTGCTTCTCATCTAGAACAACAGCGCCACCCCAAGGCAGAAAAGGGACAGTGTTTAGACATTTTTGCAACCCAAGCCAAACATTGTGTGCAGAAAAGATGAACGGATGAGTAAATAAGCAGAGAGATGGAAACTAATTTGAATGAGAGAAATTATTTATTTTTATTTAAAAGTGAATATCAAATTGAATCACTGATTTGAACGCTTAACATGCAACACACAACTGCTCCTCATTTTCAAGTCATACAAAGCATACCCTGAAACGAAATGAGGAAGCCTGCTAGACAAAACATAGTATTCTAGTTACGAAAATACCACACCCCACCGACAACTTGCCATTTACAATAAAGCGCCACTTCGACAAGGAAGACACTGCAGAGAAGCAGCGTGTCATGCCTGCTGTTAAATCCACCGTTTCTACTCTACCCTCAGAATACTTCACATGGGGCAGTGTCATCTGATGCCTGCAGCCTTTTATTGAAACATCTCAGAGGACCTGTTATTGGTATGTATCATGAAGCCAAACGCATCTCTGTGCAATGTTGTGTTAGTCAAGTGCACTTAATTTGTTAAATGTTACATTTTATCAGAAAGAAAGAAAGAAAGAAAGAAAGAAAGAAAGAAAGAAAGAAAGAAAGAAAGAAAGAAAGAAAGAAAGAAAGAAAGAAAGAAAGGCTGACAATTTTGCTGCTTTTCCAACAACTTGTACTGAGAAGTGCAAGCTGGACATTCAAGTTAAGACTGGAGAGCATCATCATCATCTCCTCACCGATCAAATGTTAAACCTACAGGAAACTGTCATCTCTGTGACCTACTTAATAAACTTCTTTAAATACTTTATGGTGTTTTACACAGGAGCATATCAGTTTCTCCAGTCATCCCTGTAAAACATGCATTAAAATGTGTCTATTTTACAAGCCTGACACTTCGGTATTGCCCATTCTCTAAGCATACAACTCTGATATAAGACGACAAATTTAGTTAGACTGCTTGCAAAGCTCAGGTTAACCCTTAAAAGCCTGAACTGTAAAATAATTGACAGAAAATTCAAAGTTTTTGTTTTTGAAAATGGAGTGTTTGTTTAACCTCCTGACAATTAAGAAAAAATGTTATTCAAAATTAATTTGCATGTTTTAGTTTTAATTTGTATAATATTTGCTACATCTACGCACAGCAGAACTGTAGAAGAGTAAGTTAAACTATGCAACTAAAGAAAGTACATGTTGGTTTGAGGAGTTCTGCACCCACAGACACCAGTGCACTGACAAGCCATGCACATAACACATAAGAGGTTAGCTTCTCACCCAGAAAAAAAACAAAACTAAAACAATAACATGCTAGCCTGCAGTGGGTTACTAAGATATCATGAACTGTCATGATCCCACACCTCTCACACTCGGACACATGCTGTGCCTGAGTTATGCTCTCAGCTGGAAACCTTAAACTCTTTTTAACCCTGTGCTGCAGCCTTCAGAGCGGTTCGGGCTGTGCCCACCGTACGTTCAGTTGCACGTCACGTTACGGTGTACGGTTAAGAAGGGTTTCTGGTCAAGTCTATATTTATAACATCTGACTATCTGAGCTGCTGATTTTGGAGCTTTGTCACTGAATAGACTCAAAGTTCCTCATAGACATTCTGAAGTAATGATCAAGTCTGATTTTGCTAAAAATTAAGTAAATAAAAATGTTTTGACAGTTCAGGAAGCCTTGATGTCAACAAGATTTAAAAGCCAGCTTCTGTGTTCTAGATCAAATGGAGGGCACGTTTCCATCAGAAAACACTTCGTCCACCACCTGTAACTTCTCCCTCTGCCCGACTGCTGCAACGTTATATTTCCTTCCCTCCGTCTATGCGCTCCTCTTCCTCACCGCCCTCCCAGGGAATGCACTCGCTCTCTGGGTGTTCCTGCGGTGCATCTCCAGCTTCTCCCCCATCCACATGTATCTGTGCCACCTGAGTATATCCAATGTGTTGTTGTCCATCACCACGCCCTTCCTCGCAGCCTACTATGCCGAAGGCTTGGTCTGGGGTCTGAATGATGTCCTGTGTCAGCTCGTCCTGCACGGCATTACCCCGGTGCTCCACGTTAACATCTATATAAGCTTAATGATGCTCACTTGGGTGGCCCTCAGCCGCTTTGCGTCCCTAATCCAGAACACCCACGCCTCAAGGCCCAGCGCCTGCACCACCCTGCTGCCACACGCCTTCTTCGCTAGCCTCAAAAAAGTGTCCTTCGCCAACGTCGTGTGCATCACGGTGTGGCTAATGTCAGTGGGGAGCATAGTGCCAGTGACTGCTTATTACGCAGTGCACGAGGCTATGAACCAAACCACCAAAAGTGACAAATCAGGACGTGGGAAGGTGTGCTACAGCCCTGCTGTGGAACTCGGAGGCAGTCTGTCTCAAACTGCCACTGTGGTCATTACAGCCTTCTTCTTTGTTATGTACCTGCTGGTGCTGCTGTCCTACGTCACGGTGCTGAGGCATATCCGGCGCTCACGTCGCAACACACCAGTCACAACCTCCCAGAGACTGCTGAGCAGGGTGTTCCGAAACATTGTGGTCATCCAGGTGGCTATGAGTAATTTTATACTTTAAAATAATGTTATTGTTTAGTCACTTAATTCCCTCCTCTTGAGCCAAATAAATTTCCAATATACTTCACATATTTTATTAAATTAAAAAAAAAAACCCAACTCCACACAGGTCATTCTTTCTGTTTGCCTGCTGCCGCACCATATCTTCAAACCCATCTTCTTTTCTCTGGTCCATGAAACTCCCCTTCAATGTTCCCCCACCAAAGAAACTTCCAGCTGCCACCCATTCTCCGGCATTATCGAGGTGACTGCTTTTCATATACAGATTGAAAGTAAAAATGTCCCACAGTATGTGGAAATCTGACATGATGATGGTTTTCTTGTCCCTCTCTAGCTGAAGAACTGCCTGTTTCTTCTTGCTGCACTGAGAAGCTCAACTGACCCCATCATGTACTTTGTGCTGGACAGGACATTCCGCAATGAAACCCTCAACATTTTAAGGTGGAACCAGAAAAACTCCACAACACTGCAGGTGTTCTGCTCAGGTACAGGAAGTGCCACTCCGAAGTCCGAACAGCAGAAGGAGGAAACCGCAGTTTGTGGCACTGTGGAGTGCAGTCATGCAAGTGTTATATAGTTAATAATACTCATCTTTTGACTGCATGGGAAAGCAAACGTACTCAAGTTTCTACTTACAAAGCAGCTCATGAAAAAACTCGAGCAGTGAGTAGGAGAAAGGTAGTGGCACAACACTTCCCTTTTCACAAGTCTGTATCATTACTACAACCCAAAGCAAGAAGTTCTTGGTCAGTTTGAGTAACATGGTCAGTTTCAACCAAATACACCAGGACTGTATTCACAGTCTAAATTTCTCTCTCGTGCAGCTTTAATCCAAGTTTTCATTTAAATGATGTCCTCGTTATGTCTGAGAGTATCTTATTACTTCACAAAGAAATCAGCATATCAGACACACGCTGACCAAACGTTAACAGTTAAAGCTCAATGTCCTCTGTGCAGTGATCTTTTAATATCAGCACTCGCCACTGGCCACACGTGCTCTGTCCTGCTGTGCTTCAGCCATCGCTCGGCTGTGAGACTGCAGGACTGCACTAAGATAACAGAGCACCAAGAACATGTCAGACCGTCACTCCCTGAAAACTTAAAATGTAGAAATGTTTTTTAAAAAGTTAAGACTTTAAAAGAACTGCACACATACACACACACATTAGTTCAACCTGAGGAATAAACTAAAAGAAATTCCAAATTTCATTTTCCTGTATTATCAGGTTGGACCACCTGTGACAATGGAGCAGCCTAAAGTAGCTTTCAGTTGAATATGGATACTTTGGTTGTGGTGTTACTGTTGTTTGTGAAGCTCTGTGAATTACACTCCTTTGCTTTGTGATATCCTTACTTGTGTTTATTTGAAAAGAAGTCTCAGTATATTGAAGTTAAAGTACTCTGTGCCTCCAGCTGCATTCTTTCTCTCCCTCTCTGTCTGTAACCGCTTCTACACATTCACACTCTGGTCCTACTTACATTTCGCTACTGTTGCAAAGTTATTTTTATATCATGCAATAAATATGTGTATGTTCTGTTTCACTTTGTGCTCTGTCTGTTTCTATATACTCACAGCATTTTCTCAGTCCCATTCAACATACCACACAATCACACAGTGCTTATATTTATAGCTAACGTTCACACACTCACTCAGATAAATACATTAGGGGTAAAATATGTGTTTCTTGGAGGAAGCCCCACGCTCCCTCAATCCTTAAGTGAAACCTACACTGGGACGGCATGTGTCGCCACATGGGGATCAAACCACCGACCTTGCAGTTGCAGTTCACTTGAGGACTGAGCGAGCGTGGGACTTCCTCCCGAGAAATTTTTAATTGTCTGACACTTATATCTCTGCATCCTGGTAAAACTGCTACCGTTTTCTATATCAGTGTACGGTGGAACTGCATTGATTGCGACATAAAAAAGAAAAAGTCACCAGGCAACAGTTCGGTATGCGCAGCGAGGCTCTGACAATTCAGTGTTAATTCAGTTTCAGTAAAACTTTGATGTCTTGTGTTTAGGGAAGTTGCTTTTTTAAATGTGCATTTAAGGTAACAACAAATAGATTTGTGCTTGTCTGCCCCTGGAGTTTACCAGCCCAGGTGCATCTAAGCAAGATTTCTGCTCAAACATTCTGGACGTTTAAATCTTTGTGTTTTAGAGGACCATTAGGAATCATGGTTTTTTCAACTTATTGAGGCTGACTGCAAAAAAAGAAGCCAAGAAACATCTAAGATTAGTCAGTCAAGAGCTTAGAAACAACACTTCTAAACCTGAAGTACAGCTTAGTTTTTAAATTCTTGACAAACACCTCTGACTGTTCTACGGTCAAGAAAACATTTAAAAAAAAAAAAGGAAAAAAAAAAAGGAAAATCCATACAGAAATACTGCAGCTAAAAGTAGGTTTTTACTTTTGAATCAACTCCTTATTTTTCTGTTGTTGCTACTATTTCTATATCTGAGATTCATCTCAAACCTTAAAGCTCCTACCCACAGTTGTATTGCTTTGGCCTTCTGGAGGCCTCTGCTGTATTCCTCTCCACACATTTCATTTGTCTGCTCTGTTATTTATTCTGATGTTTCAGGTTTCTTTAACTTTGACGTCAATAACTGTTTACATTATGTAAATACAGCACTTTTGCTATTTGCCATTTACTTATTTCTGTTTGATACCACAAACTTTGGAATTGATCTAATACTAAGTAAAGCTTATATAGGGGAGAGCAGCGTGTCATGACTTATGATAATAATTTGCTAATTCTGAACACTGTGATTTTCACTTTCCATAAAAATTAACTAATAATAATTAGTTAATACAGCAAAACCCACCATTAAGCTTTTCATGTATTGTGAAAAAGGCTTTTTTGGAGACCTGGAATGTAAATGTGCCCGTCTCTAAAGCACAGGCCAGGTCAGCTTCTGCTGTTTAAATGTGCTACTGACTATGAATAAAACAGACTTAACAGTCAAAACAGAAAGACTCAGATATTTTTCATAGTTTATTTTTGAGGTATATTATATAATAAAAAATGTATATGATAAATCAAATAAAGGTTTTAAAGGTAGTACAGTAGATAGTATTTCATTGCAACAAAGAAATATCCTTTCAGGTGTAAACTGAAAGTACAAGTCATTACAAATACAAATTACTTAATAGTGGTAAAATGGTAAAATCACTCTTCTCTCTTTCTGATTCACATGCTGTGACGTGACATCATGGTGTTGCACTCGTGCATGCATGAAAATGTCTGTAGTGAGGTCCTCATGTGCAACAACAAGCGATCAGTGTTTGATGCCTGTATGAAAAGTCTTTTTCAGTATTTGTGTGTTCATTGATTCTGAGGGTTTAGAGTGTGCACTGTTGTTTGTGCTGACGTTGTGTGAGAGTGTGTTGAGGGAATTTTCAAGAAGACAATGTTCTGTGAAGTGTGGCTCCTGCAGATGTGTATCCCCTGGCCCCCAGGGGCCGCAGTAGCTATTCAGACTGAAGCAGGCAGCAGAGAGTATCAGATACCCTCCAGTGTGCTCTCCCCCAAATACTCACTCACAGACAGACAGGCACAGGCCAGAGGAAAAAAATAAATAAGTAAATAAATCAACGCCAAAGAAACATAGCCAGGAGAGAAGGAATTCACAGTGAGTCGGGGGTGGTTGGAAGAAGAGGAAAATAACAAGTGGAGATGTGCTAAGCTCAGCTGCAGGCCATTTTTGGAGCTTTTTGCTAGCTGGAAAATAAGTGAAGGTTTTCATGTAACTGGTGACTACACCTGCTGAGATATCGCTTTTGAATTGTTAAATACTTTCTTCTACTTTACAGCTGGACACCTCACACATCTTATTTAAGCTTGCAAAGGCACATTAGTGCTAACTGGGGTCTTTCACATCTCTAAAACTCTATAAGGGGAAACAGACAGAGAAGTAGCAGAAAACAAAAGCAAAACAACCCAGTGTGGTTTAAATATAGCATGAACAGGAATTCTTGTTCTTGTTAGGTTAAAAGTGTTGTGTTGAGGAAGGCCTTCACACTGCAAAAATTCTAAATCTTAACATTTCAGTGAGATAGATGAACTTTTAGGACAGTGCATCTTGGATCTGGAGAATTTTCACTTGCTCAATTGGCAGATTTTTCTTTCACTTATTTCAAGCAAAAATATCTTTTAGTAAGTGAAAAAAATGTGCCAATGGAACAAATGAAAATTCTCCATATCCAAGATGCACTGTCTAAAACAAGTTCAAACATCTCACTGAAATGTTACTCTGTAGCTGATTGTGTCTTATTTTAAGTGTCATAAGATTTTTTTTGGACTAGAAATTAGACAAATGTACTTGGTAAGATTTTGAATTTTTGCCATGCATAAAAGATGCACTCAGCCCGTTACTAACAGTACCACCCAGCCTTACATATTCCTGTTTTGTCGCTCATACTTGGGACATTCACAACATTGAATTTTAAGAGATTTCCCATTTCAATTACCTTTAAGGCACACACACTAACATTAGCCGTTTAACTAGTAGCAATTACATGATAGCCACATTAGCTGTAGTGGCTCGCAGACTATAGTTAGAAAAAATGAGCAATTATTGCAGGCTATATGGGACAGAAGTCGTATGGCAGACGTGTAAACTTGTAAACTTTAGCCAACCTCTGTAATAAAACACATTCCATGATGACATAACATGATGGTCAGGACTTGTGGTCTGGTGTAATATTATGGCTGGAGGTTATTTCCGTTTTCCTGTGTATTCGTTTGTGTTTGTTATCAATTAACAGTTGAAATATATTAGCAAGAAGGGGAGCTGAAATAAATGAAGTCACACTTACTTACCCCCATTAACCCGTGGCAGCCCACTGATTGCCAATGTTATTCACATCACTCTCCCAATCATTCAGCTTCATTAGAAACGCCAGAGGTTTGCATTAGGGAGTATCAACAAAAGACCTCTGCGTGTTTTGCATCTGTATACACTTTCTGTTTACACAAGGGTGTGTGCATTGTTTGTGGGTCTCCTCAGACATTGTATTATTTCCTGTGGTTTTCCTCTGCTGCTGCTGAGGACTGTGACTGTGGTTTCTTATGCCTTTTGTGGGGCTCATGCAACATGCACTCGGACACAAAAGTGCATTACTGCCAGCAGCTTCAGGAGGTTTTCTGCTGCTAATGTCTGAAAAGTTGCGAGCTGTAGTAAAGATTGCAGGGGTTTGTTTTATTTAGGGGTTTTTTTGCAAGTCTTTAGGTTTTCGAATGCGCACCTCATACAGGAATTGCATGAAACAGTCAAAGTTCAAATGAAGCAGCTCCTATGTACTTCCATTAATACAACACCTGATGTTCCTTACATTTTAATCAGCTGTAAGGCTTAACATAAGGTGAACTTTGCAAACTAGCAGCAACCTGCAATCGTTTTATTGTTGCACTAATTTTTAATTTCTGCTGTTACTCAATTTGTGTCTATGCATGTGAGAGGACGAAGGGACAGGGGAAAGAGAAAAATATTTTATTCCTGGTTGACTACACAATATTGGACTGATTCCCACTTTGAAGTTGAAGGAAACCAGCGTTGTTTTTATACATATATATGGACTTGTTGATTTAACTGATCTCCCAGCACGTTTCACAGGGTAGGGGAAACTAAAGTCATCTCTGTTTAGATTAGACAAACAAACAAATGTAGCTGCAAATTCATAAGAAAACCTGACAAGCACTGGGCTACTCAGAGGTGTTATTTTGCCATCATACACAGACACATTAAAAGCAGCAGTGCACGTGCCATGCATATTACTGTGCACGTTTGTGCTCAACTGTGAAACTGCAATGAGTTTCATGGTCGACACCTCAAGGCCCATTGAAAGCCATTAAAAAAGCCATTCACTCCACCCATCATCACACAAACAGCACTAACGACGCTGCTAATAGTCCTCCAAGTGTACCACGAAGAGGTCCGAGAGGAGAACGACCGTTTTACCTTGTAAAAACAGCTGACATTCAAGTCACTGACAAGCAGTCAGTGGGGAAATGAGTCTCCTATCAATCACACTTCCCCATTCATATGTAGAAAGTGGTATTTGCTTCAAAGCCACTCCAAATAAAGCCGAGAATAGGGTCTAACATGTAAGCACAGTGACAGACAGATATCTGTATCACCTCAGTCTGTCTTCCAGTAAACAGGCTGAAACTAGCAACCAGTAAGCTGAGATATTTACAAAACTGTGCGTCACTGACATTTTAAGATGTATAAATGTAATAATCAGAATCAGAATAATAAAACATTTAAAGTATTAGTGATTGCCTTGAATATATAAATGGTACGATGCCATAGCAGGAAATACAAACCTGTCCTTTGAAAAGTAGCGGCCATAGCTGCCTCTAGTTTTGCTGCATTAAGAGTCGAAGTGCAAATGACCAGAAGACCCCAATAAACAATATATATCATCAGATTATCACAATAAGGGCTGGGCCATATCATACCGTTCACGATAATACCGGTATAATGTTGGGCAACGATAAGAAAATGAAATATCACGATAGAATATGGGTAAAACACGCATGCGCAGTGCCTTTGTTTTCATACGCACATGGAGGAAAAAGCATGGCGGCGATGCAGAATGAGAAGGGCGAAAGTGGATCGTTCAATGAAAAAGATGAACCAGAATTGGTTTTTAAAAATGCTGCAACTTCAGTGGTGTGGAAGTGGTTTAGCTTTCGTCCCTCAGATACAGAACAAAGCACTATTTTTGGTAGAGCATGCTAGCGGGCCGTCGTTATTACCTTGTTTTTTGGAAAATACAGCACACTTAAAATCAATCCTTTGATTTTTCTGAAAATCGACAGAGCCCCTTATAATCCCGTGTGCCTTATGTATGAATTCTGGTTGTGTTTACTGACCTCGAAACGATTTTATGTCGTACACGGCGCTCGAAAATCTGTCAAATGTTTTAGTACGACTTTGCTAAGCTACGAAGCCGCACCGCTTGATGGATTGTCGGAGCATTACGGCTATCGTAGGCGGAGCCTCGCGGAGTGATACGTACTGTGCTTCAACATAATGTTACCGTATTCTGTGTGTATAACCTTTTTTTTAAGTTTGTGGATATTATACGTGGTTATGCTGAGGATATCGTTATCACAAATTTTCAAATGTATATCGTGATAAATATTTTTGGTCATATCGCCCTGCTCTAATCACAATACTTCATTCACAATCAGTGTATCCAGTGTTTGACACACTTCAGTTGAGCTGATTTAATAGAAGTTTGCTCACCTAAAGCTATCTTAGCATTGTGGTGTTTGTGCTGTTGTTTATAGTATTCCCAGAATATTTTATTTACTTAATAAAATATCGCTATTCGGTGTCTCCGTGCAGCACCATACTTTATCACTTTTTGCCAGAGCTTCAGTAAAAACAGCTTTAATGTGGGTCTAGCAATATTACACATGCTTTTGTCAGATGTGTGTTGCCGACTACGTACTAAACAGTTGACTGAATGACTACATTTAATCTAATGGATAGAGTTACATGCAGATAATAGCGCAGCAACATTTAAAGACACGTTCACTGTTCCTATATTTTGTATCCTGAACAGACTCATCTTTACTTTCAAGATTGTCCAACATGCTGCTTTCTTTCTGCAGATATTACCCACAGGTATACATTTGAGACTTACAACACAGTAAGAAAAACGGACCTATCACAGACCACCAGAAGCTCAACAAGGGACAAGCACAAACAGAGTCTGACCGCAGCGCACAGCTGAGTCAGCTCTACTGTGACGAGCACAAATTTAACTAGAAGGCTTGAAGCGTGAAGTTTGTGCAATGTTTTCTTGCAGACACACAATGTTATATGCAAGACATGGACACTATAAAATTTACAGAGGGAACACTTCCTGTTCCTTACATTCAGAAGATCTGACTGCAGATCTCACCTTAGCGCACCTGGAGAATGAAGAAATACTATTGCTGCAAACTAAGGTATAGGTCTGTGTCAGCACCACACTCTCTTTCCTCAGGTTCACATCAAAGTGTTGCTGTGTTTATGGTTTCCTCAGACGGCTCAACACAGAGCCTGGATATGCTTTGCAGATTCAACATTCAGCATGACTTTACTTCAGAACAGCTGGCTGTATAGCACAGACACCAGATATATGAACAGTCCCACAACACAAAAGTTCACCTTCAATCTTGTGCTGGCTTCTCTCTTCATCTCTCAACTTCTGCTTTCAAAGCTGACGCAGATAAACTCATTCTGCCTTGCTGTTTGCGGTGCATTTGCATGCACACAATCTGTAGCAGTGAGAGAGGCCAAAGACAAACACACAGATCCACAAAAATAGACATACAAGCGCGCTTGTGCTGCTGTCACTGGTGGAGGTCTGTGGTGAAGCAAGTGGGAAGATGAATACACAGCCATCATGGTGATTTATGAACAAGAGGATTGCGATGAATTCAGTGACTTTTATGCATGGAAAGCTGTGGCACGTTCACACTGTTCCATATTCAACAAGCACAGTTTTGTTGCCGAAGCTCTGCATGTGTATGCTCTATTTTGTTTGTGTCCCCTGTAAAGGGCATACGTCTCAGCAGTACATCTAATGAGCTGGAGACAGGGGCTCAGAGTCACTGTTAGATACTGATAACAGAAGTATCTAACAGTGGGACAATGTCAAAGCTGCATTTTTACCTCACTGTTCTAACACAAGGTGCCTTTTTAATATTTACTATTCATTTACTAACCATAAAGGAGTGTGGCTGGCAAGCTTCCCTCGTGATCCCAGCAGTCCACTAAGCCTGACTTAATAAAACTAAATCATCAGACTGACTAACAGGTTTGGTCTGAGTTAACTCCCTCACCAGACCAAGCATAGAGGTTTAGCCATATGCTGTAAGTTATGTAATGTATCTCTGTAACGCTGATGAAAACAGCCTCAGGGAGTTAACTGAACTGTGAGGAAGTTCTAGGAATTAAAAAAAGAACCAGGCAAATGTGATAACTTGATATAAATTTACCAATTCAGCTGCTAACTCAACACTTATATTCAATAAGATAAGCAAGTTAAATCACTTGCATGTTTGAGTCAGTTTATCGTGATTTTCTCGCTGGTATAGCTTGGAGCGTGGATAAGAGTCTGGCCTGTTCCAAAAATAGCCCGGCTCTAATGACAGTTGCATTATTGCTTCTGTATGCTAGAATTTTTTTCAGTGACAGGATTAAAAACTTCTCAAAAGTTCTCTAAACAGATTTAAAAAAGGTAAAAAGTCAACACTTTTAGGGCCCTTCTAAATTCTAAGACTTAAGGGTCCAAGACTAAAATGAGGACAATTTCATACATTCATGTCAGAGTCATAACACCGCTCAGAACCATATCAGTCTATTTCGTTACCGTATGGATTTTGGACTGCTTCGTTGCAGGGCTCAACTTTAGATGTCCAACTGGTCCTTGGTTTCAAGTGTCAAGAGTTTCAAGAGTTATTATAGTTTAATATTTTATAATTCGTTTTTATTTTTATTTTTATTTCATTTTTGACTTTTAACTGTAAATTCAGTTTAGCTTCAGTTAGTGTCCAGAGTGAGCTTTCTTGTTTCAGTTTCGTTTTATTAGATTTAGTGTTAGTCTTTATTAATTATTTTATGGAGGGCACATGTCAGATTCAAAGATTTAAGAAAATCAGTAAAAAATATTACAATAAAACACATGAATAATGTTTTGAAAGCAGTTGCAGTCTTGTTGACATCCAGAGTCTGAATAAACATGTCCATCAATGCCTCGTCGGGCAGTTGTTTTTGTACCAAACAAGCCCATGTATTTTAGTTCACATGTAAGATTTCTGTATAAGTATCGTTAGTAATCATGTGACCATTAGCTGTTGGCTCACTGTGTATAGACACTGCTGTTGCTCCTGGGACCCATTGAAACTGCAGCTTCTGTCAGTTACAGCAGTTTCTTTCACATACATATCGGATCATCAACGACAGTGATGCCTAGTCAAGGGTCGGTCGTTGATTGAAGTTGATTGGGGCTTTTTGAGCTCTTTGTCTGGCAGTTAAAACAAGCCAGACATCATTAACATTTCAGTGCCTTTCTGCCTGCGCCTGGTGGGCGTGCCATTTTAACACCTCCCCTTGTCATCTACGTTAAGAACCACAATTTACACACTACATGATTGACTATTTTTCTGCTAAACAGAGATTGTAAATGAACTCCTATTGGTTAGGTCAAGTATGGGGTATTTCAGAAGTTTACTGGAACCCACCCAGTTGAACTATATAAATGAGAGCAGATAAGCTCCTGTTATTTACCAAGCTGCCGATCGCAACATACTGTACTACAGCAGACATGGCACAAATCAGCAAGGAGGAATCCCAGGAGACTCATCTCATGAGGGCAATGAGACAAGTACACGATTTCAAGCAATATCTCGCCAGCCTGGGCATTAAAGTTTCAGTGAGAACTGCAAGGGTTCACTACAAGGAGAGACAACCCTGCCGCGAAAGTCGGTAAGTAATCAAAGGACTGAATTACTGACTGGTAGCCTGCAGAAAATAACTTTTGCTTTTCTGTTTGTCTAATGTTTTCTTGTTTCTTATTAATATTTTACAGCAATATCTTGGCTGCCATTGATGAGATAACAAAAAGCAATGACAAGATGACTGCGCAAGACATTCAGCTAAAAATTGAGGAAGATCTGGGAGTTTCACTGAGCCTCTCCAGTGTACGCCACGCTCGACGACTCCTTGGGAGAAAAACTCCCTTCTCCCAAATGACGGAAGAGATCAACAATGACCCAAGATTACAACGAGTTCTCCAGAGGATCGAGTCTGGGGAGATTTGGGATGATAGCACAGAAGTTCCACAGCAAGACGATCGACCACAGCCGGGACGTGTCATCAAACTTCACATCTGGGGGATGATTTCACAGCATGATGCATGTCCTAAAACCATCTTACATGAAATCCTGGACAAACGCCGCTCTCAGAAACCCAACCAAGTTGCTGCTGCACGGCTGGGCCTTGACGAGGGCTTCTTTGAGGAGATGGATCTAAACCCCACTGCTGCTGCAGAGCCGTCAGCTTTAAAGCACATCAAGCTTGTTGTAATTGCAGTTGCAAAGGACAACTGAGAGCAGAGTGGAAAATTAGTTTCCACCAATTCCTATTTAGATGTACAATGTTCCCCTTCTACATACAGTGTGATATTGTTTTTGTTTTACTGTTGTGTAATGAAACTAAATCTGAAATAGACTGAAATTTAAAACATTGTGCAGGACACTGAACTTAAAATTGAAGAAGATTTTACCGAGTCTGTCCAGCACACATCATGCCTGCCGTCTACTTGGCAGGAAGACCCCCGTCTCCGAATTGGTGGAAGAGATCAGCAAAGTTACAACAAGACGCGCGACCATATCTGGGGGATGATTTTACAACACGATGCACGTCCTGAAGCCATCTCAAAGTTATCCTGTACAACTGCTGTCTTCCTAAATCTGTGAAAAAATGTTGGTGCTGCACAGC